GGAGGAGACAAAATAAAAAGAAATTGCAAGGGCACTACTACCACAAAAACCCTGAGAACTGTATCAATTTCTGGAAAAGCTAGTAATCAATCCTCTTCGGCAATTTTGCCCTTCTCACTGACATAGATACCATCGAGGAACTTCCTAATATCTTTGTTTTTCACATGGCATTTCTGTTGAAAATAGAGGAGAAAGCAACAGTGTCAAATCAATGCAAAGAAAATATTTACATGTTGGATGTCCAAAAAATCGAAGATATATACCTGGTTAATGAGGGCTGCTGAACGTGAAACAAGTTCAATGTCATTTCCATCTAGGACAAGTTCATCCTTAACCTTGTCAGATCGCAGGATCGTTACACCTTGAAGCATGTCCACTTTCCGAACCTATTGTTACAACACCATCTCTAGTTATGCTCTAAAATGCAATATAAAATCATCTCCTTCTTACAATTCACACTAAACCTATATAATATTTTTTTTTTTGAAATAACTAAATCTATATAATAACTAAAATCAAAAGGCATTATATAATCACCTCTCTTCAGAATTTATCTCAAACTCGTCTACAAGATTAAAGCCAGGATTTTTATTTACCAGTTTCCTTGTCTAAGTAGATTAGTTCATCCCCTATTCCTATTCCCGGCGACTTTCACGATGATCAATCAATGTGAAGCTCACCAAACAGTCAATACACAGACAAGCAAACAGTTCCAAATGCTAAAAGACTCAGAATTTCAAAATGTAACCTACGCTTCATCAATAAATTCAAAACAAGCAACAAGCAAACACATATGAAAGGGAAGGGAAGACACCTTCTTCTCGCCAAGGAAGTTGCGGATCTCGATGGACTTGTTGGAGTTGGTAATGGAGGCATTGATTGGAAAGTGAGCGTAGACAAATCGCATCTTGTACCGGTATCCCTTGGTGACGCCGGTAATAAGGTTCTCAACGTGGCTGAGAGCGGTGCGGATGGCAGCACTAGTCTTCCTGGATCCGAACCACGCCTCGATCTTGAGTTTGCGCTTGCCGGTGGCCTCGTCCTTGATCAGCTGGAAATCCAGGTTCAGATGCTTGAAGTTGCGAGTCAGCTTCCCACGGGGACCTTCCACCTCTATCAGCTTGGCGTGCACTTTGATGGTCACCCCGTCAGGGATATCCATCGTCTCTGATGACTGGATGGTCTTCATTTCGCTCTCTCTTCGCGCTCAAAGCCAAGCAGAACAGAGCCGTGAGCCTTCTGGCTGGAAAGGAAGAGGAAGAGGAAGAGGAAGAGAAAAGGGAGAGAGTCAGCGAGGGTTTTAGGGTTGGGAACGGCGAGTGACAACTAATCGAGGGAAAATTTATATGTGGCGGATTTAGGGTTTGTGAGAAAAAGGGAAATTAACAAAAACCCCCATGTATTTTAATCTTTGTCTCAATTTACTCCTTAAAAGTTATAATTTGTTCAATTTAGACCTTATAATTTTAATTTGATCAATTAACACCGTATACTTCCACATATTCCGAAATTACTCAATCTTATAATGTTATATCACAAAATCCCTTTCTAATTTTTATGCTT